TTGTGAAAAAGGGTTTAGGGGTTTAGGGTTCAGGGGTTTAGGGTATAGGGTTCAGGGTTTAGGGGTTTAAGGGTTTAGGGGTTTAGGGGTTGAGGGTTTAGGGTTCAGGGAAGGCTCTGCCCTCAGGTGTGGTCCGGCCGGCATACAGCACGGACTCAAAAAAGAGCTACCCCTTCATAGGAAGAGGTTTGTGGTTAGGGATTTAGGTTGTGGTTTCTCCTCTTCATAGGATGAAGGTTCGGGGTTTAGGGATTTAGGTTGTGGGTTGAGGGGGTTTGGTTCAAAGTTTGTCATGTGCGCTGGCATCTAACGAGTCCATTGCAAGAAGGGTTTCTTGTTTTAGGTTTAGGGAGTGCACTGGGGGTGAAGGGTGTATGGCCTTTCTTTGCAGGCTGGTCTTTGAATCCTACGGTTCAGGTTTGTGCAGGTTCTGCAGTATAAAACTGTATTAACCCCAATTGTTGAAGCAGGTTGTCCGAGCCGATAGTATCAGCCTAGATGCACCAAAGTTTCGATGTGATAGTGAAGGTCACTGGTGGGCTAGGACCCTATAGCAGCTTTACACAAGCACCAAGTTAGGCGAAGTACAGTATCCTTACGTAAGCTTTTATATCGCATAACCTTGTTGAGACTAGCTCGACACCGTTGAATCCGTACAGCGGCCCGCACGCACCTACAAGTATTTGCTCACAATCTTCGCTTCCTCATCACAAGAACGATCGCCAAGCCGAGACAGGCACCCATGCGTGGGATTACATGGGTCTAAGGCCTGCCAAAGGCCTGCTTAATATTCGATAAGACCGCTCAAGCGCTTATGAGTCATGCTGTAGGAAGCCTAACAGGGCCCCTGCAAATGTGCTGGCGTGCAAACAGCGATGATCGTACCAGGGGTTTCCACGGTTTTGGGGAGGCGGCGCTTCGGTATGAGCAGGTGGCAGGATCGCCCCTATATGCAGTACTTACATTCCAATCACACCCCGAAGTCCCCGACGCCCCATCCTAATTACTAGTAGGGAGCGCTGCAGCGCCCTTCAAACCCGAAGCCCTCATTCCTGATTTTAGTGCTCGCTGGCTAATGTGCTGGCTGAGAGAGCCAACGCGCTCATCGCCCCGCACCAATAACCTCGCCCTGCTGAGACTCTAATCACTAGCAGGGCCCTTCAAACCCGAACATGTATCTTTGGTTCGATGAGAGGGCTCCCCAGCGCTTTGCAAATCCCCAGCCTTAAACATCACAGATCTGGACGACGGTGACTTAGAATGTCCCAAGTCAAGACCCCGGATCCACACGCCTAGACCCTACAGAACCGTAAGCCCAGAAGCCCTATAGCGGCCCTCGGCCCTAGCACGCTCTGATCGCGAACGCAGCCCCTAAACCCTTAAACCCTAAACCCGACACCCCAAAACCCCTGTTTTCCCCAAAGCCCTAAGCCCCAAACCCCTAAACTCCAAACCCCAAACCTAAAAAGCCCAAACTCGAACCCGCCTATCCCCTAAACCGTAAACCCCCAAAGCCCGAAATTCCAAACACCCCTAAAACCCGCAGCCCTTAAAACTCCGAAAAAGCGAGACCCCTAAACCCTAAACACACTCTCAAAACGAGACACACCGAGGTCGGATCCGCGTGCCGACCCGGCAGCTGCCTCTCCCGCGCCCGTGGATCGCACCTGGCAAGATGACGAGGCCCAGAACGTTTAGGGTTTAGGGTTTAGGGGTTTAGGGGTTTAGGGGTTTAGGGTTTAGGGTTTAGGGTTTAGCGGTTTAGGGTTTAGGGTTTAGGGTTTAGGAGTTTAGGGTTTAGGGTACGATAAGACTAAAATCATGTAGGGCCCTTTATATAATTAGAACAGGGTTTTGGGCTCCTTGATAATATAGTTATAACAAGGGTTCTAACCATAGTATAGATAGTTATTTGGGCTTCCATATCACTATATAAGCTTTAGAGTACTATGCTATAATACTGTGGTACAGCGGGGCGACAATGCAAAATTACTACCATAATACGATGATGCTATAATACAACGGTACTACAATGCGGTAATGCTATAAACGATTATAATAATGTAGTTATAATGTAGTTGGGTGCTCTAAAGAAAAAGCTACGGAGGTTCTTGAGACATGTTGGCGTGAAGGACTTGGGCCTTAGGATGTTCCTCAACCCAACTCTTCGTCAGGTTTAGGACTACATAGGGCTTAGAGTGTAGGATTTATGGGTTTAGCGTTTAGGATTTAGGGTTCATGGTTTCAGGCAGAGAGGACCGCTTTGGACTTGTCGGCCACGAATGAGAATTGGGATGCTGAAAACTTCTAGCCTAAGCTGAAGCAGAAGGGCGGCTTGTTCAGTAAGATTCGTGCCACAAACACTAAACCCCTAAACCCTGGGCAAAAACCCTAAACCTCCTCTTAGGAAGGGGTGGCCTGGTTTTGCACAAGATTTGTTGCCTGAAGTCTGGTCTACTGCATGAGAGTACCGACATGGCACAGCACTTGGTTCTTCACCTTTCTTGGATTGTTATGTTCTTAAGGACCCTAAACCCTAAACCCTAAACCCCTATTCGCGTATCTGAGGGGGCAGAGGGGCTCAGGCTTGGTGTCGCCTGCAGTTCCTGTTGGTGGCGTTGCGGCCCTACGGCTGCTCAAATACACAGGGTTTAGGGTTTACAGGGTTTAGGGAAATACACACATAAGCTTTTCGAGTATTGTATCTGAACCAGACGTGTGCTTCTTACATAGACTTGCTTCTGCATATGTATATGCAAACTTCCACATGCAGAAAAGGCGTCACATACCGTGGTTGTTTATAGGGTTTAGGGGTTTAGGGTTTAGGGTTTACCCACCATGCAGAAAACCATAAAAGCCTTAAGCGTCCGGGAAGTCGACAGCTTCACCTGAGCCAAGATTCAGCAACGCCGGACCTAAATCCTAAATCGTTTAATATAGGGGCCTTAATCATTACCTATACTATTTTGGGGGTTCCTTATGCTTTTTATTATACTACAATGTACCCCAAAACCCCATTCTAATTATTAAGGCCCTTATAGTAGACCGTTTAGCTGCGCAGGCACGCATCCATTTCCGGCGCACCGCTGAGTGGGTGCTTGCCCAGGAGAAGAGCGAGATCCCTGCTCGCCTGTGAACTTCCCGTCCTTGAAATGACAGAAGCCGGAACAGTCGACCAGTACTCATTATTTCTTAGGGCTCCTATCCTGGATTATGATTATGGTTTATGATTCCATGACCCCGCCTTTTTAAATGCTGGTTTGTTATTTTATGTGACCGCCAAAGTCGGTTCTAATGTTTCAGGCCCTTCCATATAGCAGCATCTTAGGGCCTTCCGGTCACGGTTTTGTAGGGGAGTGGGATCGGATATTGTGGGGTTTATGGTTTAGGGTTTAGGGTTCTTTGGACCTTAAACCCGCAGAGGTTTAGGGTTTGGGGGGTAAGACTTGCTATCGCCTGCAGTCGAAGCTTATCAGGTTTGCGATCACTGCCTGCGACAGTCCAAGCTTGATGTTGCTAGTTGTCGCAGAAAGTCTACCGTCGAAACCCTAACGAAGCCGGTTTATAGCCCTAGTCCCATCTGAACCCCCAAAGCGGAACCAAGATGCCCGGACCTGATGGGCTTTTATGGCTTTCCTTTTTCAGCCGTGCCCGAGCTTTGATGAAAGGAGGTTCCCGGCAGCCTTCGGCTCGGAAGGGGCGTCTTAGAAACTAGGACACCCGATTCGGGGCTGCTTACAGTGAGGATCCTTCGAATTGGGGTCCTATGTTCGGGTCCCCTGTTTCTGAAACTCCCGGATCTGAACCATTTTCTTGAACTGCTCAGTCTGCGCAGCCTTTGCAGACAAAATCAAAGCCTTCAACCTGACCACTAAACCCAGACCCAAAACCCCTCAACTGTCAACCCGTACGTGGCTGCAGGGGCCTACAAGAAACACTCGCAAGACTCCAAGTAGCACAAAGCAGTTCTTATTTGTAGGCTGTAGACTCCGGCCCAAACTACCAGGAACCTGCAATGTAGCCTTCGATAGACGGCTGCTGCTTCTGAGTGCGGGTTGTATGAGGTACCTTGTTAGTTTAGGCCTTTGCCATGGGAACTTAGTTTTCGCTTGTCACGGAATGCCTGAAACCGCCTCGATGCACCAAGCCCCCTGTTTGGGGTTTTCTGCCCAGCTGTGCAGGAGAACCCTAAACCCTAAACCCTAACCTGAAGCTCCATGCCCTTGGAGCCGGAAGATGCCGGAGCCCTTCTTGCCCGACGATGCTTTCGTCAGCTTCCAGCGGTCTGATTGATGCGAAAAAGCGCCAAGCTACATGGGCTAAGGCGTTCCGGAGCTTTTGCGATAGTGCGGCTTCCCCTAATATCTTGTCTTCCGTAATGGGGTGTGTGCTTTGTGCTGCGAGGAGTTTGGGCAGTCTTGTGCAAGTTCAGGGTTGTGGTCGTTACTCGTGTTACCATGTCTACTATCTACATCCCGATCAGTTCTCTTGGTATGATGACTGTTCACTATTCTTAGTACTGCTATTCCCGTTACTGTGAGTGCTGTTGCTGTTGCTCATTCTCATTCTGGTGCTACTCGTAACCCTAAACCCTAAACCCTAAGTCGCCAGTCCAGGCCATGCAGTACACGAGCCCACAGGCATCAGGTTTGGTGGGCACCCCATAGTAGTTCCTTTTTGGGGTTACCTTATCGGATTCTATATATGAACCCTAAAAAGGAACTGCTTTAGGGCCTATGGGTGGTGACAGTCAACTACGGGGCTGCAGCAACAGCTGCCTGCTCATAGTAGCGAAAGCATCCGTGATAATGTTGTGCGGTTGAATATCGGGACTTGAGGTTT